GTACTTTCTACTTCTTACATGTTGAACACAAATACCTGTACTTTCTACTTCTTACATGTTGAACACAAATACCTGTACTTTCTACTTCTTACATGTTGAACACAAATACCTGTACTTTCTACTTCTTACATGTTGAACTCAAATACCTGTACTTTCTACTTCTTACATGTTGAACACAAATACCTGTACTTTCTACTTCTCTCATTTTCCAAACAGGCTGGTTCCTTTAGTCTGAATGTGTGTTTGGTGGCGTGATCATTATTATTTAGAGTCATTGCGTGCCTATTGATTTGAACACGATCCGTGTATCCATCATTTCCTGGTCTTCTCTAAAGAAGAGGGACCAATGAAAACGTTGTCATGTTGCCGTTGGTCACCATGGAAACATTCATTAGCTAACAATGACATTATTGTTCTATTAATATAAAGTGAGGTCAGGTACTCTTTAAAACAGCTGCTAGTTATGGGTACTTTTTACTGAAGTACTCTTCAAAGCCTCTTTACTTTGACTTGAGTAAAGAAGTTTAGTCTGTACTTCCGTATTTTTAAACACGAGTATCTGTACTTCTACTTGAGTAAAGGGTTTGTGTACTTTTGCCATCTCTGGTTGGGAGTTCCCGATGAAGGAGAACTTGCGAGCGGCGGCCAGAGGATTCAGGATGAGGGATTGTTTGCGTTTGTCCGGGTACCCGTCACCTCCTTGGGATCCGTTAATGACAGGCGGCTGCTGCTGGCGGAAAGACTGCCGGAGAGTTTCTGGTCCTCTGAAGCCGGCGGTTTCATCTACGGAGACCCTTCGGAGGGTTTCCGTGAGGATGGAGCTGCGTCGCTCGGCGTTGCAGTTGTCGTACGCCTCCATGCCGAGGAGCAGGTTGCTGAAGTCGGGACGCTTGGCCTGCAGCTCGGAGAACGTCCCGTAGAAGAAGCAGTCTCCGTTGTGCAGCAGGAGGATCCGGTCCGCTCGCTTTAAATGCTCCAACTTGCTGGTGACCACGATGCGCGTCTTGGAGGCCATACGAGTGCAAACTAATCTGTGGAGGGGAGACAGAAAAAAAATGGTTTTAGTAAAAGTGTCTTGTTTTCAGAATCAGAATCAGAAACGGGTTTATTACCAGGTAGGCGTACGAGGAGTTTCACTTGGTGTCGAGGTGCATACATAAAAATCTAACACGGATAGCGTACTATATTAAGAACACTGTAATACAAATATATAATACAAATATAGTAAGATAGCGGGAATCCCAAAATAATGTATTTTCATTTATAAAAAAGAAAGGAACAGAAAGATTAAGGTGTCAAATGTTTTAAAGAATAGCCACTTGAATTGGCTTTTAATCAAATTGTATTTATTCTTGTTGTTTCCGTCCTTTGTTTATTTAATTCTCAGGATTACTTTTTTATTTATTTAGTATTTTAATATATGTACAGTATACAGAATATATTTCTAATCTGAACATCCTGTATCGTTCTAGCATTACTTAAATTCTAATTTTTCTTGATTATTAAGGCTTTTTATTACTAATTGTATTGCTCTGAGGAACTGGGATGGTTAGGTATTGTTTTTATTATTTATTTGTTGTATGGTTTTAGTTTTTGAAGCACAAAGTGTAAAAGTAAAGTTTGTGTAGGCACCATGCCCCTTTTTAAAAATGATTACATGTTTGCAAAACTGTGTCCCTTAATATTTTCTAAAGACTTATTGACCACAACCTTTAATATCAAGTTTTTATTTGTTTTTCTAAAGTGAAGTTCACATGTTAATATATCAAAACATGACACAGCAGTTTTATTTTATTCCATCTTTAAGGTTCATAGTTTACTTATTTGTGCGTCATTGTGTTATTGCATTGATCAAAACACCTTTAAATCTTTAATATTGAATATGTAATACTAGCTTTTGGGAAGTAGCACACCTCAGCTTATCTACTGGTATTCATTCTCTCCATGGAAGCTATTTTATTAACCCAATTAGTTCAGGTTCATCCAGCAATGATCTCTGCATGCTTCCCTCCTCTGAAGGATGCCAAAGTCCACACATCATCAAAGCATAATTCCCTTTCTGCTCGCCTCCCGTTTCCTGAGAGGGTTCCAGTGTGTCTGAGACAACAACAGATAACCTTGACCTTGAAGCTCCTCCACATGAAAGCCTCTCTGTTGGGATCGTACTCACTTCTCAAAGATCTCTTTCTCCGTCACCAGATCCAGGTGTGTGAAGGGTGCGTCCAGCAGGTAGAGGTCTGCATCCTTATACACCGCCCTGAGGAACCAAAACACACACAGGTGAGTCCGTAGTGAGGCGAGGGAAGTGTGTTTGGAGAGCACATTTCAACACAAGGCCATTCAAAGTGCTTCACAAGATATGTTGCAATAGAAACACAATACATCTACAAACAACATGAAACAAGCTAAATATAGAATAAGAAAGGTATAAAATACAAGAATAACATGTTCAGTACGGTACTAAGCAACAAGCTATGAACATGAAAACAAAGAATATCCAGAAAACTGAACGTAAGAGACGTAGAAAGAGAAGAAAACCTAGTTGTGACTAAATAAATATACATTACATTAGTATTTAGTGTCTCTACTTTAAAGAGTCCTCTCCTGCTGATGTTCAGGTGTATATCAGTATGTAGTGTCTCTACTTTAAAGAGTCCTCTCCTGCTGATGTTCAGGTGTATATCAGTATGTAGTGTCTCTACTTTAAAGAGTCCTCTCCTGCTGATGTTCAGGTTTATATCAGTATGTAGTGTCTCTACTTTAAAGAGTCCTCTCCTGCTGATGTTCAGGTGTATATCAGTATGTAGTGTCTCTACTTTAAAGAGTCCTCTCCTGCTGATGTTCAGGTGTATATCAGTATGTAGTGTCTCTACTTTAAAGAGTCCTCTCCTGCTGATGTTCAGGTGTATATCAGTATGTAGTGTCTCTACTTTAAAGAGTCCTCTCCTGCTGATGTTCAGGTGTATATCAGTATGTAGTGTCTCTACTTTAAAGAGTCCTCTCCTGCTGATGTTCAGGTGTATATCAGTATGTAGTGTCTCTAGTATATCAGTATGTAGTGTCTCTACTTTAAAGAGTCCTTTCCTGCTGATGTCCAGGTGTATATCAGTATGTAGTGTCTCTACTTTAAAGAGTCCTCTCCTGCTGATGTTCAGGTGTATAT